CGCTCCCGCCTAATGAATAAGGAAGAGCATGGTTCCAGTGAAGACCTCGCGTTATGCCACGTACTGAGATTTCATTCGAAGTTCCACGGTTCTATCTGAGACTATAGTGCGTTGAGCGCTGAATACTGGCCTTCGTCAGACTACGAACATTTCCGGGTTTCGTTGAAGTTTCTACGTCAAGTACATAAGAACTTGGGCAGAACAGCCCTTCCCAGATCCAAAGAACGCACACAAGATATACGAGTCTACGCGATCAATCATTGATCGATCCGGCAGGGAAGGTATGTGATGACTAATGTAAGGGATTCTCGGGTTCCGGGCACAAAGCTGTTCTTTCTACCTTCTTTCTACTTTTCTAAATGACGTCACTCTACTGGGACCTGTTGTACCAACACGATCAGATAGCGGATAGCCCATGTGGAAGTGAAGACTCAAAAGTTTCATGATCTCGATCCGGGTCTAGTATAAGCACTGTGGGACAGTGCAGCTAAGCCTAATATTCCGTTACGTTATTATTTTTGGTACTTCAAAAAACGAGTCTTATTGAAACATCCAGAGCGCCAAATATTCCTAGGTCTCTCGGCCTTGTTGCCAGCCACTTGGCTCAGAATGTACCAAGAGCAACTCGTGACTCAGGAAAAGAGCAATACGGAACAAAAGTAGGGGCAGATCTGCTCTGTGGCTGGACATAAATCCCTGAACAAAACTATAATTATTGTCATGCTTCCTCGCACCCTTTTAGGCATGAAGGGAACACCTCCCAAGCTTTTCCAGCTTTCACTACTTGGGCAGGGATCTCCTTTTTTATTACATGAGCGTAGTTTTGCGCTAGGAGTCCTTTAGATGGCACCCCAGCAGGCTTGTGTCGTAAACTCTTAGCTCTGTCTGTTACAACCATGTTTCTTCGGGAGCTCTACAAATGTGTGGGACGATATAAAGCTCCAATTGGAAGTCCCAGGAATTCTGTTACACTGTGGATCCATTTGGGAAGTCCCTGGGAGCAATAACAAGACGAGGTCTGAGACCATTTCGGGTCATCCTTTAAGGTTTCAGAGGACTCCCAATGTTTTTTTTACGATTTTCGTAGAGCTGGGCAATCTCAGTCCCGAGCTTCTTTTAACAGAACAGCCATTTTTACTGCCTTATTTGGGGTATAGATTTCCTAGCGATTACCACAACTCAGGCCAAGCCGGACTTGGAAGCCGAGATCGTGGATGTCCATCACCTAAAATAGCCGCATTTTGAAACGCCTCAGCCTCTCCAGAGAATCACCATCTCCTTGTTATGGAATCTTTCTTACTATGATAGTCTTTCCATAAACCTCCCACAGAACCTGCGCAGAATACTGGCGCGGTGGTGGTGCGTTCGTGCGTTGCTGGCTGCTGTCTGACTGGGGGCATTTGCCGCAACGGACATCGGCGTTCCTTTTTCTGTCAGCCTCCCCCCGTTCGTTCTCTAGCGGTTTGCTGTAATGTTGTGCTTCGCATGTGCTTATTTGACGCTTCGAGGTGGAGATCGAGACCGCCCACCTCCTTGGGGTATGCCGCCGCTATCCTTGTCCGTTCGAAACTCATCTATCCGACTCTCATCTCATTTTATGATTTCTTTCTTCGTAGCTCTTCAACGTACTTCACCAAGAAATCAATCGATATCCATCATTCATTGAACGTTTTTTCAATTTCATGTCGCACGCGACATTGTGTCAATCCGACCCAACAAAGGCAATTTTCCACTTCTTCATCTACCCGAAATACAATCACATTCGGCTATTTTTCATAGCTTTGCATCACTGTTAGCGCACTCTTATTAAATACTTACTTGAACGGCTTTTCATCAGTCAATATGAGCGCCAGTTCACATTCAGTGGGTCAGCAGGATGTTGTCAGCTTCCCCACCACCTCAACTTTACGCTTCAAACCTTGGTACCTCACAACTTGCGTACGCACGAACGTTGCACACCAAAATAAACTATTCCAGACAGCCATTTGTCGCCAGCCCATGTCCTCTCCGAACCAGCTTACATTACGTTTATTACTAGAGTTAATGATGTCGAAACGCAATACAACTTCGAGGACATCTTCTTCATCCTTGTGGTACGACCTGAGCGCCCTTAAAGGGTTTGTACAGCAGCCGCAGTATTACACCGGCACCACACAAGGCGCTTTGACCGGTAAAGGGGTCTTTGGTGACGGCGACGGCTGTTGCCGATGCCGGCACCGGGGCCTTTGCTGTACGACAGACACCCCCGACCATATAGGACAACGTATCACTTACATGGTCGAGTGAGGTCGTTTCTTTGCCAGCATATCCTTTGATTGCTTCCCATTTTGCTCATTTGGCCAAAGCTATCTAGGTTTCCTTTCCAGCGAGTACTGCGCTAAGTGAGTCCCAGAGACCATTCCCAAGCCAAGCTCAGAGCACACCACGCCGTGAGTAATGCCACTGAAACTTATCGCTTTTAGTGATCGTTTCAGGAACTAACCGCTTCATGTGATTCGGCCCTTATAAGGTACCACTGTAGAATAGACTCTTTTAGGGTCCATCTTCTCTAGAAAATAACCACCTCTATCAGAGTGGAGAGTTTTCATCCCATTTCTGTCAGAACTCCCATTTTTGCCCATCAAGGAGCAATCGCTTAGAACCACCCTTAAGTCATCCTTGGGGTGCTTCTGCTCCGATTGAGGTCTCTCCCAATACCAGATTAATGCCGCGAAGCTGTTCCTGTTCCATGTTTGATACGGTTACTTACCACCCCCTCCCCAGAATCACCTTGAACCGCTCTATAAAATCAGGTCGGAGCCCCAGATGACCGGCAGACACGCTGCACTGGGGTCCAAATTCCTCCAAACCCATCGTCTCTGGAATACGGTCACTCCTCGCATCGTGACGACTAATGGGAATGCGTTCGTGCATGTGCGTGTCGCCGAACATTTACAGCTATCGTTGAGAGGGCTACTAATCCCCTCTACCGTGTTCTCGTTCCAGTTCCCCAATGGGTCGCCGTCCACCACCACCACCAACGACGACGACGACCACGACGTAGACGACGTCGCTAGGGCCGCGTGGATGGCGACGAACGGGCTCGACCATCACTACGATCGCTGCGGCGCTCGCCTCACTCGGCCTCGCGTCAGCACGAGCGCCACAAAAACTGTGTAGAGAACGAATATTTGGTCGTTTCTTCAGAGTGTTATTATTAGGGAAACGCAATTGACCCCGATCCCAATACCAACCACATCGCCATGACTTATGGCCGCCAACCATACCATCGTCGCCCATCGCGACCCACTCGCTTACCTCATTTGCTTCCGTCGATTACTGAGAATTGCTGGGCGTGGGGATAAGTATTACACGCCGACGTCATTCCTGTCCAGCTTCCCCTGTGCTAGCACAAGTCAGTGAGGGTGTTCACCTTCTAGGGTACTGTCTGATCTTGAGGGTCCAGAAACTCCCAGTTGGGCAATCAGCTGATGCCACAGCGTTATTGATCGCTAGGTCCAGCTGTTACTCAACTATCTACTATTTACTCCGAAGCCTCGAAGGGACGTCTGCCCCGTTCCTGTCAGGTTATTCGGTGGCGCCCAAATTTGATTGAACATTTCTAGAAATATCGTTGCCCTCTATTTTCATTCAGAGCATATCCGTGACCATCTATTCCCGTTTTAGTCTTGGGGTTACAAAGTAGATTCATCTCTCTCTATA